TATAAAGTCCCATTATACATAGAAAATTGATTTAGTTCCTATCATACTAAACAAAATTATTGATTTCTCAATATTAAATTTGTAATTTCATACGGTCTAAATTTGTTCATGAAGATTAACTTTTCTGTAAAATTTAAATAAATTTTTTTTACTTTTATTTCGTGTAAAATTCACTTCAAGTAAAAAATGTTTCTTCTTCCATTAAACAAAAGCATTCATAAAAAATTAGCATATGTATTTTCTTTCCGTTTCAGCAATAGGGAATCAACGTTATGACCTCGTCGATATGGCGTTGATTATTAATAGGTACCGTGTGTAGATTCTTAATACATTAACTTAATTAACTATAATTAACTTAATATTCATGTTGATGAATCGTTAATGACTTTGAAGGAGAAAGAACTTCTGTGCGCTTAATTGATCTGACAGTAATTATGGCAAGGCAAACTGTTCAAATTTTTTTATCCAGACGCAGTTTGCAGTTGCTTCGGAACTTCTTCTGAGAGATCTTCGCTAATAGCGAGGGTGATAACGTCAGGGGCATAATTATGAAAATAATGTGAGAACTCTTGCAACAAGATTAATCGCGGTGTATTACCAGGGAAAGAACAGAATAATTTTTAACAGCGTACCCGTTTCCACCCGACAAAATCGTTAATGAAACTAGACAAAAAAAAAAAAAAAAAGAAACGTTGGCCATCTGTTCTCAAGGAAATTACAAAGGCCAACGAAGACGCTTCTTACACCAGCCGGAGGAGATAAAGCGACGTCTAATTCGCATCGTAAATTTTTGACAACGACTGGACGCCAAATATTTATCTTGCATTGTGCCAGCGAATGGGCGGACTAATGGCGCCCAGCAGTTGCACGTTCGGTCGAAATAACGCCCTGTACAAAGAGAGAAAGAGAGAGAGAGAGAGAGAGAAAGAGAAAATAGAAGAGAAAGAGAGAAAAAGGTAGAGGAAGGGAGGGAAAAGAGATTGGAAAATATAAACTGCTCGACGGCCAGCATATCATCGAGGATTAGATCTCACTGTTGGCCAACCTACATCCATTCTTGTTATCCCGCCATCTGACCTAAGAAAAGACTCGTCTGACCCGAGCTAAGGCTTTCCTTTCGCGTCTTAATCTTCACTCTCTGTGACAGCGCTCGTCACCGCGTGATATCTGAAAAATTGACGAATCACGGTCAACCGGAGGACAAACTTTTGTATTACCGTTTTCCACCGCACCGCCACACACCGAAACGTCGAAATATCGATCGACATCTTTTCTCGAACGCTTTATCACTAAAACATCTTTGGATATTTGCGATGTCGAAATGTTTGCGCTCTCGCAACTTACGACACTCTCGCGAGTATGCATTGCTTTATTATATTCTCGAAAGTACACCGAGTATGATGAAATGTACGAGAGCTAAAACAAACGAACCGAAATAAGTATGTAATAAGTGGGACGTACGGATCATTTATCCCGAGAGTGATGCAAGTTCATTTTCTTTCCTTTCTTTCGTTCTCTTCGGTTTTGTGATATTGAATCGCGTTCGCGTTCATATCGATTATCCAGATTCCATCTAGTAACGAGATTTCAATTAATTTAAAACAAACGAACACTCTGACATTTAAATTACAGATTGTTTCCGAATGTAGAAAGTTCGCGTTAAAGTGTATAGCATATTTTTCATTATTCGATCTCTTGACTCTCTCATAAAACGGACTCGACACCATTATTAACACCAAAACTAAAGCATAGGATTTTCATCAGAGATATTGAAGTGACCAAAAAAATAGAAAAATTGTAAGATACAATAGAATACGCAAGCTTTTATACTTGTATATTTTATGAAAAATCATTCAAATCTTTAAAAATACACTGTTTTACGTCTATAATATATCTAACAAAACTTATGAATTAGTCATCTTGACCACTTCATAGTAGTTTTACTGAATCATGGTCAATAAACGATTCATAGCACTTTTGTCTATGTTACATTAAAAACACACACACAAAAAAAAGAACGCGAATCAGATGAATTATATATAAATATTTTTGTAAATAAACTTTCTCATCTTTATGTAATTTTTATAAATGAACATTTGATCTTTAGAATCGACCCTATACACTTTGCAACGTCCTAGATATAGACTGTGGATGGAACGTTACGAGAAGCACGATTACGACGATTACGTCGAGTAAATCGTTGATTTACTTGAAGCGAAGCGAGGGAGCGAAGAAAGAAGAGACAATTACGTGACAAATAGAGTAAAGATGTCGCCGGATGGGGATCTAAAATTTCATGATCCGGAGATTAAGCGAAGCCAAGACGAAGTGACGCCAAAAGTCTTGGCCAACTTCATTTTCTTCCACAGAATACGATAATCCCGCTGCAAGAAACAAGTGAATCGTCTCGAAAGTTGGTATCTGTTGATTGTCTAACAGCAGTTGCTAATCACTGTGCTGGAAGTTGGTGAAACTTCCGGACGACGAGCACGTTCCTCTGGGCTGTAGTTTCGTTCTTATATAAAATTACTATTAATCGACAATCGAGTTCGACATAAGAACATTCAGAAACAACAAATTAAAGATAAAAATGGC